TWTYYARKTYSYCCRKKMCCRCKWRCCTTAATATTATTATTATTATTATTATTATTATTATGATTATTATTATTATACAAACATGCAGACGTCTGTAGTGTCAAGTACGTTGAACATTGCGAGGACTTTTAAGATCATAACATGAACAGTAAAAGTACAAAAGACACTTTTGAAAGGTTGAACATAAATAATGATTATTATTATTATCATTATTTATGTTTTTTTCTATGAGGGAAAGGGCAATTTGTACGGTCTTCTCTTCAATTCAGAGGTCCCTCTTTATTACGGTAGTTGATAGGAGAACATTGTGAGCGTAGCATTATATACATCTAATTGGCAAGAGAAGTCAAAAATATTCTATTAATGCAAAGGTTTCCCGCAACATTTTCGTTCATAAAACCTATCACGTTACCAAGTGTACTTTTGGGATTGACTTCATTCTACCTCTGCTCTATTTACGTTCAGTGATCTTGAGTGAGTTTTCGGTAACCTCTTCGCTAATTCTTTGAGGTTTTTTAGTAAATCTGATCGCAAGTTAACATTATTTCAGTGCAACGAGAGAGTTAAACCGCTTCCTGGTTTCTTGTCTGGATTGCGCCGCCATAATCAACGAATAAAGCTCAAGGATTATGTCGGGATTGGCACTCTTCCAGGGAGACACACTCCTGTAGAGGTGAGATACCAATTGTACATACACAATGGAAACAAACAACCAGAACTTCCCAGAAATATTTCTTTCAAAACTGACTTGAGAAATATCTCCGTCAGAGACATGGAAAGAACTTTTATTTTAAGACTTTCTACTTCTGACAATGCACATGCCAGAAATTAATGATTCGAGAAACATCTTAATTCTTTGTTTTTCAACTTCAGTTGCTTCAGCTTGGTTTGTCCCCAGAGGTGATATCTGTTACCTCTTCCAACGCAGTATCATTTCGGCTCTGCGGAAGGAGGTATCTCAGCGAAACTGCTTTGTCGAGAGGTGAAGGTGTTAGGACTGAGGATGGAGGTTTGTTGCATATCGGGAGTGATGGCTGCATTGGTCTGGAAGAAATACGAAGGTATCTAGATTTACAAAACAAGAAGAGGTTTGTCACAATAAATCGGCCAATTTGGTATTTGCTTCGCCCCTGGTAAATCACTGCGATATACCACTGTGCTCGAGAGTTTACTCTTTCCAGCTGGAGTATTAATGGATACCGATGAACTTCCGGGAGACCCAATGAAACGCTGAGTAGTAACCACAATGAATAGCATCCTGTTCGAGAGGAGGGGCTATATTTCTAGTCGCTTCATGTTACCAAGGCCGAGATAAACCCAGCAGTATTGATTACCTAGCTCGTGTGTACCATTTTGATTATTTTCAGGTTTAAAACCTAATTAAAATCATTGTTTTATTTCGTTAGCGCGTTTTTAACCACACCAGGAGTGGACAGTCAGCTGATTAGTGAGGAATGGATTGCTAATCATTACAGATGGCTCGTCTGGAAACTCGCGGCAATGGAAGTTGCTTTTCCGTGTCATTTTGCTGGCAGGTTAGACTTTGCGTCGCTACTGATTTACAATAGCAACAATGCGATAAAAAAAAAAAAAATGGCAATCTCGTGTGTTTTGATCGTTTCAGGAGTCCTCAGTGTGTTTTAATCGTTTTAGTACTCAGTGTGTTTTGATCGTTTTAGGAGTAAATAGAATTAGTTATCCATTTCGCATATATTTTCTAGAATGATATTGCAGTATGATTTTCATCAGACTGTTATTTTAAACATGGCATGCACGCGATTATGTATCCTTGAAATATTTCTGTTTGGACATGTAAAACTGTTTATGTCTCAGTGTTGCGCGCTAACTCAGTTTGAGTGCTGTGTTTGTATTTTCAGGTGCTTAACACCAGACTGGCTTCTGTGTCAACTCAAGTACAGATATGACAAGGAATTCGATAGCAGTGATAGGTAACATTTAGTCGACTTAGCGGGATGAGGATGAATTTTATTCTGGCTTGGTGGGTTGGGATTGCCTACATGGCTTCCACGAAAAAGTAAACAGACAAACAAAACCGCTATGACGTCTTTAAAAACACAAAATCATGAAATCAAAAACAAAAACTACAAAACAACAACAACAAAAAAAGATTTTGGTAGCGGACCCACATGCGTTTGGGCATTTTTGTCTTCTCTTACAAGGTTACTGGCTGTTAATTTAACAACTAAGAACAGTCATAGCAAAGCAAACCAGGGAAAATTTATGAACTTATTTTGCAGTTTTCTATTTTAATCTATGAGCCATTATTTTATTGATCGACCCATTAGGTCGCGATAGGTGGATATTCACCTCGTTTTCTTTCAGTCCATGAAAGCGCTCATCAAAATAATATGCGAAACGATTTAGCCCATACTTAGGGTAGCCTTCTTAAACAAAGCTTAGTCTCCCCTATGAATTAAAGTGTTCACTCTCCTGACTTGTTTATCTTGATGATACAGATCTGCACTGAAGAAAATCATGGAACGCGATGATGTTTCCAGTCGAACAATGGTACTTTGTGTATCAAGCGTCACAGTAACTGAAGACGACACGGAGAAAGAAGCTGTGGAACACAATGATAACCAAGGCGACATAGACGGCCAGAGCAGAATGAAAATGGCGGTAAGTTATAGTGGCGTTTATACCTGAGAGAAAAACTTGTTTTAGACAGTTAAAAGGTAGAGTTCATCGCAGAGACTAGAGGTAGGGAGAGTCTTTGTAGAGAGAGACAACAGGGGATATTACTATTCAGGAGTGGACCTATGTTTTCTCTTTTTTTATAAATGAAGGTGGGAGGTTGGAGGGTAGGGGCCTAATTTAGATATTTAATGATTTTTTTGTTCTTGTCTATCATTCACTTGAGCCCAAATAAGCTGAGTAATATTTCGAGATAAGTAAATTTCACTCAACTTCACACTGAGTTATACTATGCGATCCCGTCGTAGGAAGAATTTATGTATTAGACAAGTAGTAAGAAAACCCACATGTTTGATGGGGGATCGTACGGACCCCTCGGACCCTCCCCCCATGGATCCACCACTGCTTCTCCTTCCGGCTTGATGGGATTCGAGTCCATAACACACTGTGCATCCACTCCTTACACCATTCTACAATTCGTCAGGTCTCTGTGACAGTTTGCTGGAACCAAACTGTGGATTGGTATGACCTACAAGTAAAGCATCTTTGTCGAGAACTTTACGCAAAGACCATGGACTTTTCGATCTTGTGTTCAGTGCGCTCTCCTTGAAGCCACTATTTCCCAGTCTGTTTAGAGGCTAACTAACGCGTTTTTACAACTGTCATTCAGAGTTGTGCTATCATTGAGGTTACTGATGGCTGGTACAGCATCCGAGCCATATTGGACAGACCGCTTACTAAGCTGCTGCATTATAGGAAGATTTTTGCTGGTCAGAAGCTGATTCTATGTGGTGCTGAATTAGTGGGATCCGAACAGGCTGTCTCCCCTCTAGAGGTACATTATAA